AATGGAGGAAAAGCAGGACAAAATGTGTGGGGATAAGAAGATGCCAGATAAAATGTATCTCAATGATTTTGATCCGGTATACACAAGGCCGCCTCACGAAACAAGTTGGCAACCTGCCACACTCATGTCCTCAAGGAGTAGCCAAGCGGAGCTACGACAGAGGACGGCCGTGTGGTGCGCCGCCATTCGGAATATATCCGGCTGCGCTCAAACAAAGCACATGAGCTGGATCAAAAAGCAGCTGATACTGACCCAAAACGGACGGAGAATCTGATACACAAAACCAAGAACCACAAACAAATGCGGTACAATCCCAATTAAGACGCTCGAAACGCTTGCCTAAGCCAATTAATCGGCATCAAGCGGAGGTATGCGGTATTGACCAGGGAACAGATGGGTATCACGTGTACCCTTGAATATCGATTCCTAAACACAAGCCCTAACATGATTGGTTAACCATGACCTTGCCTTACCTTCTTTAGTTCATTGATTTTTGCGGCTTTTTTATCTGCGGTAACGCAGGGAGCTTTTAGTAAATCGGTTCCATACTACGAGTGCGCGTTCTGTTCCTTTTATCGGCTGAGGGCCATTCGTAACTGTCGTTAAACGCCTGGCTGCACGATGCTAACGACAATGCCCCGAACTCTTCGTTAGATGCAGAAGGTGGACCGGAATGCGGTGTGCAAATTGACGCCACCCAAGCGCACAGCCGGGTCTGCAGTGAACTAAATGTTTTGTCAGTCATTTTCTGGAATAGCCATTTTGTTTGCAGTCAGGTGAGCCCGTTCTGACGGCTCACCAATGCTGCGCTCTGGTCCGCACAAACGTCAAACTAATAAATAACCGAAACCTGCACCATGGGAACTCTGCTCACAGCCCAGTTTGATAAGCGATGTTCAAGCGCATGCTTCTGATGCACCCATCCTCACTTTTCGATAATTACCACTAAAAGCTCTGTTGTAGGCTTCCGTCCTTCATCCTTCTAGGGGGACGCTTTTATTGTCCAAATGAAAACACACTCTTTGAGCATTTTACAATATTTGCTTTTGCTGTTTTCTGAAACCACACAACCTTCAGTATTATTATTATTATGCATGTTGGCTGCAGGTAGAAAACACATCAAATAGATTAATACAAAGTAAAGAACAAAACTTGAGACAGAGGCACGCAGGCTTAGTCTCCTGTAACGGGTGGACATGGTTCCGTAGAGCTAACAGTCGGCTATTGTGTCGCATCGTAGGAGTTATATTATGGCTAATAATTGCACTCATGGTTAAAGGGATGGCTAAGCGGGAGGAGGATAAACAAAGAAACCCAAAGCGCAAACGAGATTGTGATCTACTCCAAACTATGTCAACAGGTGTATCCAGCCAAATGTGTGCATCATCCTTCGGTCCTCAATTAGGGGCCAAGACGCTCCAACCGAGGCCAACTTCAAAGTAAAGGCCTTCATTCCTTTTAACTATGTCATCGCTTGGCCACCGCTCCTTTTCTTCCATCCGCACTCGCGGCACGAAAACAACGCACGTCGCGGGAATCAGGGGAATAGCATGCGCAACATTTGACTCAGCCATCGGTGCCTGGTGTGTGGAAGAACGGTGCTGTATGGTATGTTTTTTGCACAACGAACACTTGTTTATTGACGGCACTGCCGATTTTAAAAACTGTATTCGTGAGTTCCGCGTTATACAGCCACTTGCTCTTGTAGCCTGCATAATGTACTTTGGGCCTAGCTACCTCTAAGTTCTCTGTTGTCCCGTAGTTAACACTTCTCTTAAGTGTCATCGTTACCGACTAGTATACTTGGCACACCAAAACACGCTCCATCAACATAGCCAAATGCCAAGCCGTCCTAGTTTAGCCTATATGCCGAAGGTTATAATTATTATGCACTTTAATTCCTCGTATTTTAAAAGTTTCATTATTTCCTTGTTGGTTGCAGGTGACCGGATCTCTTTCGGGGAACGCTCACGACTTCAGAGCTAAAAAAAGACCAAAGCAAGGTATACTAACACTGACTCACTGGCGTATACCAACAAGTACCATACCAGAAGGATCCGCATAACGGAATGGGCTGAGACTTATTGCCCATACTGTATGCATACAAACAGCACTCAAAGCATTTGTCAAACAAGTGATGGCCTACTTGCTAATTTGCCACACTGGCATACAGCTAGTTAATTTATATATTCTAACCTATATATGGCACGACCCAGCCAAGCTGGTCCGACCATCGGTACAAAGGTAATGCAGTAGGGTTTTACAAGATTGCCGTATAAAAACACTTGGTTTGCATTTCCAGTACTTCTTGCGCCCATGATTTCGTTTTAAAATCCGTCGGAATCCAAGGCAATTGCTAAACATTCAGATACATTTAGGCAAATGGTTAGGAAACGGAAGCAAACTAACAAAACTTTAGGGGGTGAGTGACAACGTGTACATTTTAGATGTTGAAAACCTCATGGAAGATCCGACACACTGGCCTTCCAGGGAAAATAGGTCACTTTGGATTGTAGATATAGACAACGGAGATTGAGAAGCGGTGGCATGCAAAAAGTTTATATCATCGGCCAAAAAATAAGGTCTACTATGACTTATTGCAGGAAAAAGATTATTTACATATATCAAAGACAAGGGCCGACCGAAATACCCTGTATCACGTCACTAGCAATGTCTCTTGTTCCCGACAGATACTCATCCATCTGAACTAGCTGCTTTCGAGCAATGAGGTAAGCTTCTAACCAGGATAACTTTAAGTGCGGGTGCAACCCATTGAGGAAATATCTTAGAGGGAAACAAGTTCACCGAAGCCGTTACATGGATGTCCGTATTGCTTTAATCACACTCCTGTTGCACCAACATCTACTATTGTTTCCATTTTATTAAGTTTAATACATCGAAACTGCCAAGCACTTCAAAAACCAATGTGAGATCTATCGTAGCACACGTGAACAAATAACTATTTCATACGATTACGTTGTACACGTTGATAAGGCCACTCAGTTGGACTGTGCCCAAGACCTTTGAGGGATATAAATTTTATTTATTTTAGAAAGTAGCATTTAAACGCATAATGCAATTATACAAAATAATTTATCCTTTGTGCCGCGGCTGATAACCCAAGAAGCTTTTCTGTTTAACTAAATTACAATCAGTCAGTGCAAGATACAAAAATTGGTATCTATGGTCTTTCCAGTGTGATAAAATATGGACAGCTAATAAGCATATAAAAATGGGTGTCAAGGCGATGTACGAACACGCAGCTGAAATATACAGACACAACAAACTGGGATAAATAATGAAAGCAGATAGCACCTGAGGAAAGATTTAAAACCACAATTGTTAAAATACTAGACAAAAAAGCGTCACTGGAGTAATAAATAGGTCAGTTCTTAAATAATTGCGTTTTATCCTTCAACAAAGGTGACCAGCAAGGAACTACTGACGTGCGGGCGTGTTTAGTGTTGACGCTCTGCCTGATTTAGGGGTTTAATAGACCTTTGGACAACGATCTGTGGGGAGATAGCTAACACTGGTGTCATGATTGCAAACTTTGTACAAGAGTTGACATTGCTAGTTTTACACGCACAATATAATGTTCAGGTGTTATAGGAATATATTACCTTTGAGCTCAAATGATATTTGCGACAAGGAAAATGTAGCTACTGTAAGACTGTGCTGGATGTTTTCAAATACACAACACATGACCGGGCTCTTCTTACTATAACTAACAGATAAACAAATAGGGCAAACAGACACTCTAAGGTTCACTGCAACGAACATTGATCGGCTACTAGTGCATTATGGGAAGGCCACTCTTTCGGCCACCTATTCCGGCATAGGTAGAGAACTAGCCGTCTCGTTTTGACGCTTTTAATCGCCCACAAAAATATTGCAAAGGAAAATCCAACTAATTTTCATGACAGAATTGCACAACATATAAAATATAATAACACTACCAACAATAAAACGTAGAACCATTTCAATAGTATCGCAGACCTCGCCCCATTGTATTTACAGTTTGAGCGTGAGAGTGTTTTCAGTCACACGCACTGCAAAAAATGACGGAAACAATTAAACTTCGTAATTTGATAATATATGACGTCAAAGTTTATTATGTATCATTAAAACGCCAGCTTTATCTATAAGTCGTTACCTTTTACTTAATCGGTCGAGTGCTCGTTTTCTGCCTTTGACAGTCACGGTGAAACCTTTGGAACAAATTTTATTTATTTGAAAATTTTCGGAACAGGCTTGCATTTTCATTACTACGCAAGACGGATAGGGAATCGATTTGCACTGAATGTAGACAGTGGTTGCGCTCAAAAAATATGCATTCACGGTCCAAATGAGAGGCATATGGTAATCGTAACAGTATTAGTCTTAGTTGTGCTTCAGTCATAAAAATGCATACAAAAATCGGTCACTGATCGCATTCCCACGGGTATGCAAAATAAGGAAATTCGGTCAATTGTATTATACAAGAAGGGCGACTGACCGATATACTGCCGAAGGATTATCGGTCAGTTGCATAGGTTGAGTCGCGTGCACATAGACTTCCCAGTGCAACAAACCCTCGACACAAATGGTTAAGTTAAACACGGAATGCACTTTGTTTAAGTGGTATGTCGTTATAACGATTTTGGAAATGCGAGCAGGAGACTGCGTTCACTGCATGTGACAGCCTGAGCTACGTTTATGTTTTAATTGATTTAAATTCATCCAAACATCGTTCTAGTAGGACATCCGGGTGTACACAGCTGGTTACACAGCAGCAGTCTATGTCAATCCTACTTATAAAAAACACACAAGAGATTTGTGAGTTGCTGACAGGTTATCAATTTCGCCGAGGTGGTATTTACGAAAAAGGTATTTTTATGAGCAAAGCGCAAGAGCATAAATTGTCGGGCAGATAGATGTGACCAGAGTATCACATTATTAAGTTGGAATTACCATTTAACAAAAAGATCTTGGTTTGTCAAACAAAACAATGAACCTACGGGAAATACTTCGTTGACAAAAGATGGTGGCACTGCTTCTGATTTGCTCAGGGTTCCAAAAATCTCGTATGTTTCACCCTGCTTTGCACCTTCAGCCAACGACTCGCTTTCTTCAAGAGCTTCATTTTCCTCTTGCTTGACGGAACTACCAGTCAGAGTTTCGGAAAGTAACTAAAGTGATAATAAATATAAGGAAATTGGAACCACCTTTCCAATATAGTATTCATCATACCTGTCCACATTAGCTATGAACAAACGCCTTCGATTTTGCATTCGTAACGTGCTACAGCACAAACAGACGGAAAGTCATGGTATTAACTGCGACTAGCAAATAGTCCCAGAATTGGTTCCATGGTGAACTAATGCGCATAGAAGAACCGGTTTCAACTGGTAAGGTTAAAAACTGATTTTTCAACACAAATGTGTTATCCGCAGAAAAATTAATTTATTGTTTAATAAATTAAAATTGTTTTTGTCGCATAGAAATAACAGGAAGAAAATATACAGTTAGGTTACACATATCTGTACATGGCTCACGAACGATGTAATGCAGGCAAATTTAAAAAGGTAAATAATATATTAAAAGGGATTTATAGTTTAAATTGTTCTTTTAAAATGCAAAATATTCACAAGTTGGTGGTTAATTAGGAATAAGTATCAATCTTATATGCTACGATAAGCAACACAAATACAGTTAGGTCAAAACATAGCAAAAGGTTTTGCTAATGTAAGTACAAAATCACACTTTGTGGAACGGCCAAATATCAAGCACCTAGGCTGAATATACAGATTTTCAAAATATCGGCGTTGGGTGTCACTATGTGCTTGCTAATTGACAAATAAAAACAACGGTTGTAGCGCACTTGCCCGTTTATATACCTTGTTAACAATTAAGATTTAAAAAATTACAAATACTCTTTGGTTTTGGAGTGTGAGGGAGTTTACTCTCTGCAATCTACGCGCAATTTTGCTCTCCAGCTTTTTCCCGTGCGGAATACAAAAGAGAAACAAGGGTCTTCAATACGTTAGAAAGCTGACCAGATTTGGAACGTCCCTATCGGTAGTCCAAATCCGCGAACCCGACTACTTCGCGTGGTTCTTTCTAGTCCAGAGGAACGCATATCGTTTCTGCATTTTGCATTCAATCTTATGTTTAGTGGTGTCAGCGTTCAGCCGGACCTTATACCAGCAGCTTGATTGAAGTTAAATGAAACTATCGAAGGCCTCAAAACTCGACCGGCGGCTGTGAGCAAGGCCTCCGTTTGGCGGGTTTTCTGGTAGTAAGCCGGAAGTTATTTTCCGCCTTATCAGAACCCATCCTGGTGGCGCACGACACAGGGATGAGCGTGCCGACTTCTGTGAAGTAGTATTTAGCAGCGTGCGCAGCTTAAAGAACAAGATGCACGAGTTAGGCTTAGTTGTAGACAAATCTCGTCCCGACATGCTTGATTTCACTGAAACGTGATTGTCTCCGGATATCACGGAAGGCGAGGTATGTTTAGCTGGCTACGCGATGCTTAGAACTGATCGCTACATTGGTCGCCAATGCGTAGGCGTTGTGCTTTATGTGTTGACTACCTGCACATTAAAGTCGTCGGATCAGAATGTTGAAGCCCTATCGGCTATTTTGTACACTTCCTCTACCCAGGTTACAGTTGTAGTGATATACAGGAGTCCTGGAAGTACTTCCAGGGGGTTAATTGATTTTGTTCGCACTCCTTCCGCAAATACGTGTTTTGTCCTACGGGATCTCAACCTTCCGGAAGCATGTTGGGCAGATCATTGTTGCAATTCGGCGTCAGGAACATTCGTTGCAGACTTCTTGAGCTGACTCTCTAAGTGCCTTTGCACCATTTCGTGGAATTTTTAACTAGATTAGTGGATAAACAAATGCCATCTACTTTAAATCTGCTTTTCGCTAAGTCTCTCGACTTCGTGACTGACTTTTATACGGTGCACCTCTAGGGTCCAGCGATCCTGCATACATATACTTTCGGTGTGCATCTTCAAGGCACCAACAGACCGCTCTTGCATCGCTTCCGAATATTTGGCGGGCGGGCTTTAGTGCAATGCTAGCTAGGGCCTCAGTTCTGAACTGTGGAAGCTCGATGGCTGACTCTGTCTAGTTAGCGTAGGATAAATTTCAGGCCTAGCTTATGAAGGTTTCCACCCTTTATATTCCTTTCATGAGGAAAATAGGGCTACGGGCAC